AGGGCGAAGTCGTTTTGTTGTGGGGGAAGGAAAAGGTCGTTCTTCTGCAGTGACTGCTAGGGAACTCCAGGATTGCGGAATTTCCTTATATTTTCTCCCGCTGATTGCTCTACCTTTTCCTTTCATACTCGTATATTACTTTCTTACATATCATTTAATTATCATAATTATCCCTCTCAGTGACAAATGACTTGAAGCCTTACTGTAACACGTGTTATATTAAGCATATTTTTATTGGGCAGAGGTGGTGTAGTGACAGTGGCGTACTTCACCACGCATGGTCACGGGTTCAAATATCGGATCGATATCTGCCTTGACCAATCAAGCCTTCTATCCCTCCGAGTTCGGTTAATTGGTACCAGACTCGCCTGGGAGGATAAAAGCACTGACTTGTACATCGGCTGGCCACCTCAAGTCATTGTATAGGCCACCTACGCATTCAATACGCCACTATGATTCTGGAAGTCGAGTGCGTGGGCGCACTTACATTTTTATTGGTTGATTTTGACACTGGTACCAGATTCGTCTGAAAAGCATGAAAGAGCTGACTTGTACATCGGCTGGTCGACACAGTTCACTGTGTAGGCCACATACTCGTTTAAAAGCCACTACATTTTGGAAGGAATTCAATTGTGGGGCATGTCCCAAATGATTCCGTTCATTATAAACAGTATGCACAGGGTCCTGTCTTGTCTTCTGTACACTTTCAGGCAAAAATACGATTAATTCGTAATGGCAGTGTGAGTAAAAGCAAATGTTTATTTAGCGATTTCACTTTTCCGCAAATAAAAAACTCGAGTAGTGCAGGTTACATTGTTCAATCCATCAAGGCGGTGTAGTGTAGTAGCAAATAGTGCAATATTTGGTCCAGGGATCGAATCCTGGATAGATACCCAGCCAGGCCAGCCAGCCCTTCATCCCTCTGGGGTCGGTTGATTGGTAGCAGACTCGTCTGGGAAGATAGTGAGTGACGGATCTGTTTAATAGCTGGCCAGCACAAGTCGTTTATAGGTCGTATTCGCAAACATATAAAAAGGCACTGCGTTTCTCAATTGGAATCGAATGCAGGGCACATCTTAAAAATATGATTGATTGAAGCTGAAGAGCGCTTTTACTCGCAGCGAATGTCACCGGTACAGCTATTTCAGATTGACAGTATTTATGTTTGTATGGCTCCGTACCTTTTCTTGCTTTACATAGCCCTTCGGTCCTACTATTTAGTCATCCATATTTTTCTGTAATACTGAGTAAAGTGACCTGACCGTCAGCAGCTCTGCAATTTTTCTCCGAAGCTGGATAGACTTCAAACTCCCTACCATCTTGAAATTCCTCCTACCTTAGAAATTTGTGTAACTGAGCTTGCCATTTCTTCTAGTGAGCAAAAACCTCCTTTTTAACAGGTGGAATATGCTTGGAGTCCTTCCTCTCGTCTTGCTCATTTTTTGCAGTTTTCATATCTCAAAATAATCGGCAAAAACATAGTTCCATTCTAGATTTCCATGAGATTGACACAAAGCTGAAACACAAGTCGAAGAAACAATTAGATGTCACAGGTGGGTAGATCTGAGCACTAGCTACTTATTTTACGAAATTTTTTTCATTTTGTAGTTTTTTCCACTATCACCAGTACATGACTGTAAAGTAATTTGCAGATGATTACATAGATATGAAACCAGTTTGCTGGTAGAAGTATTTTCTCAAAGATTCGGTGATTTCGAACTTTCAGTCTTCAAGTCGCTCTTGGGCGACTGTTCTTCTCATCACTGTCTGTTGGTTACCACTGAACACCGTCGGCTATCAAAATTACCAACAAAATTCCATCAACCAACAAGCAACCAAGTCAGACTATGCCCCTGTCTTACAGGTAAATCTTATTCCTTAAGAAATTCTATAGAGGGTCTATTGCATGTGGGGCTCAAATCAGTACATACATACAGGAACATAGGACAACGATAGGGGGTTTTTGCTGATACTAGGCAATCGGACATTGCATGAAGACCACGATTTTCGCAACGTTGTACCAGTCATGAACAGATCCTCATTCCCTCTGGCTGTTCCTCTTCTCAGAACAGCTTTGATAAACTACTTCTACTCGGGCAGTGTTCAATACGTTTGTACTTCCCGAATCCCCGAACATTTCCCTAAATATCCATAAGTTCTCCTTAAAGAGAAGTGAAATGAAATTTATACGGCTTTTTTTCAGATCTCCTCCAGTGAAGGTTACTTGCCAGAGACGGCCGTGGTTGGTACGACGGTCAGAGTTTCTCCGGATCCTCAATCAGAATCACTCCAAATTCTCGTCAGTGATGATGACCTGGTGAGTATTTCAGGAGTATTTCAGAAGTCATGATTGTAAACCTCTTCATTCACTAATTGTCTTCTATTTCTTCTGCAGTCTTCATATGTATTAGTTTGTTTATCGAAAACTTTTTAGCGGCCTGGAATGCCACCGGCTACTTACCAATACATTCTGACGGGTCCAGGTGCAACCATCTTCGCGGTTGACCAACGAGGTTTCCTCTACTTGAATGCTCTCACTATCGATGCCGATCCACCCAATCCGTCGTCATATCAACTGAATGTAAATTTATTTTATAATTTCCACGAGAAAAGGCAAAATACGCTTTATGACAAGCATTAACGGTAACCAGGCTACAAATACGACTACAAAGTTCGAATATCCGTGACTCTCACAAGTTATCTCAAAGTAACACAATGGAGCAGCTCATTCGATTAGCACTAGTACTTAATGGAGCGGTCCTGCACTGCAACTTCTTCACCGTTTTTTAATCTACATACATTTCCAACTTTTTGGTTATAGGTCCAAGCACGAGAAGTGGATACTATACCGATTCGAAGTAGCAAGCCGGTGACGATCAACATTAACGTGATCGATGTCAACGACAATGCACCACAATTCGAGCAACCTATCTATACTGTCAACGTTTCCACTTTTGGTGACGAAAGGCCAGTCGTAAAGGTGAGTTTTCTGGTTACAAATAACAAAAGAAATTGTTTGGTTGCAACATTGAGAAAAAATTGTGTTTACTTCTTAGAAACCGACTGCAGACATGGTAATTTTGTAGCAAAAACCATTTCCCTCAGAATTACCAAAGTATACAGTTTTGGCTGGTAGGCTATGTTTCGCTGAGGCTAGACAACATGCCTTAGCTATCCAAAACATGAGTCCTTTTCTCCTATTTGACTGATTCCTTCTGCTTCTGTTAATTAGTTTGTATGAGACGATTTCTCTGTTTTTTTTTTTGAAGTTCACCCTTTTTGTATTTTTTAAGCTTCCATTATTTTGCCATGTGATTTCTGAGCCCACTGGTTTTTGTTTTTGACATAATCTCTTTTTCGAGATTGATGACTCCCAATTTCTGACATCTGTGGAAAATTACCTATTTCTCTATCCAGGCAGAGAGAATTTTGCAGATGAGTGAAGTAAAAAAGGCTGATTGGGGGCGCCTTTACATTCTTACAATGTTTGGGAATAAAATTCCATGTTGTTCATCTTTTTCTGACTGTTTGCGTTCAGGTATTGGCGACGGATACTGATTCGGGCACCTATGGGCTTATCTCCTACAGGATCGTGCAGGTAGCGACCGTGAATTTCTGTTTCCAGAAAATGAAAAAAAAAATTTGGCTTGTTACCTAGCCCTCAGCCACTGTCACTATCTAGCATATGACCTTGACACTATTTCAACAGAGAAGGCATTTGCAGGTGACCAATGGAGCCGAAGGGCAGTTCAGCTATGACGAGTCCACCAACACCCTGTACGTCGATGGTGATCTTACACCCGGAGAACGATATCAGGTATAGCTTTTGGTATAATAAAAAAGAAAAGGAAGAACAAATGGTACGCTTGGCTTGGCGTTTATGAAGCAGTTCAGAAAATTCAAAGCGATGTGGGCGCAATTGTGAGGACCCCCAGTAGAATTTGTGCCTGATGACCTCATGGCCAGAGCTATCTATGCGAAGCAAAGTATACATTCTTTTTTTCCATGGTATCTGCTTTTGGGGGTTGCCTTTCAGCCATTATACCAGCGATGCAGCTAGAGTGCCCTACTCGTCTGCAGTCCCTTGACAGTAGTTCCCTTGACGAATAGTTGTAAATCGTGTCCAGACCCAGGTCGCTATGTAGTTAGCCATTGGTAAAGTACCGTGGTTTCTTCTATCTGTACATAAGGGCATTCAGGTGGTCATCGAAGCTACTGACGGTGGTGGCAAGTCATCTCAAGCAATCGTAGTCGTCTTGGCTACTCATTCTGTATTCGGTTTGGCCAGCCTAGCTCCACTGCCTGGCATGGAGACGTTCGTTCCCAATCCATCTGCATTAGGTGCAACACAGGCCACAATCACCAGTGCAGGTACGTTCGTCAATATAAAGGCTGCGGTCTTTTGTATCCTATAGCTTTTAATGATCAGTTTTAAGTCGTAGACTTCTAACTCGTAGTCCATTATCAGTAAAAAATATATTCGAATCCCTCCTTTGCCACAGATTAAGCATAGCATTCATATATTTTAAGAAGAGGAAGAGACGATACAGACGTTCGTTACGGAAGTTGCTGAGAACACACCTATCAACACCTTGGTGGTGTCCCTCGGAGTGAGTTTGTCCAACTATTTAAATCTCTAATCTTCTACGGTGGAGAAGTAAACATACAACAGATCCTCTTGTGGTGCTTTCCAAAGTTTTTCTCTCCAACCAGCAAGTTTTTACACAAATAAAAGCTGAATAATAGTGAAAAGGGGGTTCCGTTTGAAACTGATCTTGAAATTCTGAGCAAATCCTTATGGGTCATTGTGTCCCAGCGATGGCCTCAGGACTGAGATCTGACTAGAATGAAGTTCAAAGAAAAAATCTATCTGAGGAGCTATAGGGAGAGCTTTCAGGGTGATTCTCCGAATGACGATGTTTACTACACGATTGCCGGTGGTAACAATGAAGGCAAATTCACCATCAATGAAAAGACGTAAGTTCGATTAGAACGAAAGGCTTTCCAATATGCTAGTCTTTGAGCAGAGATGAATAGTTTATGGCAATCGCAGTTTCCCTCACATTTTATTGCCCGTTAAAATGGCTTCAGAAGAACACCGTTTTGAAGGGGTACGATCACTACCATCGCCGAATTTGATCGAGAACGAACAGCAATGTACTCACTGCAAATTGACACTCGAAGTCGACATCCTGATCAGCATCTCTATTGGACTCTCGTTCAAATCAGTGTTCTGGTGAGAAAACTAGAATTAATATGAATTGTTGGCCAGTTGTGTAGCAGAAATGGTGACTGAAGGGAAATAAATGTAGGAAATCAGCAAAAAACTCGAAATTGAGGAAAACTGGCGAGTTGCCGAATTCAAATGCAACTTAAGGGGGGAGGGGGATATCATCATGAGAAAAAATCCTACTGGGCTGAGAAGTCTTTTATAAATCCACACCTGTAACATCGTCTTACAGTTGTTTCACATGCATGATCGAGGTCCCTTAAAGTCATCATGAGATACCCGTGTTCATGGCATAAGATTGGCAGTGGAGGTAGGCTCGGCTCGGTGCCGAAAAAGGAGTATTAGAAAGTCCCCTCTTCCAAAACTTCGTTTTCCAGGATGTCAACGACAACTCACCTCAATTCGTTGGTGACCAACCTATTCGTCTTAGGCTAAGCATAGATAACATCGACCAACTAACTCCAAATATGGTCATTGGTGAGTTGTTTCTGACAAATGTTTTTCCAGGGACGATATCGAAGAGAAATCTCAAGGGGTGTGATCTGGGTAATCTCAGCGCTGCTATCGTAACTTCTTTGCAGGTAAACTAGTCGTTGAAGATCCAGATGCGGACGATAATGGACGTCTGGAACTGCGAGTTGCACCGGACATGAACAAGTAAGACCTTTTTGAACTGACAGCACTTGAAAAAAAAACGCTCAATCCAATCCTTATGTGGGTTTCAGTCCTCTGACTGGAAGGGATTTTCAATGCCTGAGCAGTAACTGATCTGAATAATTGCCAATTAACTGAATTTTGTGTGAATTGGAGATGGTGTAGTTAGATGTGGGACATTAACATGCGCATGACCTAGGGATCAAATCTCAGGCTGATACCTGCCAAGGCGAATCAAACCTTCCATCACTGCGGGGCCGAGAAATAAATCCCTAACTCGTCTGAGAAGACAAAAGTTTACCGACTTGTACATCGGCTGCTTACTACAAGTTGTAGAACCCGATGACCTCATTCGAAGCACCACTAGATTCTGAATGGGCGTCAGATGCGGGGCGCATCCCAATAGCGGAATGATGAAGCCAAATCTTTCATCCTTCCAATCCTATTACTATCAGTCAAGTATAAGTGCCCATTCGTAAGATACAACGGGAGCTACGAAACATTAGCACATCAGACTGGACCTATGTTTTTGAAATTTCCATAGGGCTGATATATACCTAGGCCCACTTAATCTTTTGAATGCACTCATTGTTTCAGAATATGTTTGTGAATCAGAATATTTTGGTCGAACTTTATTCTTTCAGACTATTCACTGTTTCGAATGATGGCGTAGTGTCGGTCAACGGCAATTTTACGGCTGCTCACTTCGGCGAGCATCGAATGTTCGTTGTTGCAAGGGATCATGGCGATCCTCCAAGAGAAACGATGGCCGAAGTGATCGTGAGCATTTTCGGTACGCTGATCACCATGGCTACTGAATCGCCAACGGTGAGAACAGTTCAATTTTCTTTGTCTACTTTTGTCTAAATGGTATTTTACATATTTTGGCCAGATGTGCCGAGCACAGTACTGCATGCATCATGACAAAGAACACATCAAAAAGAGTTGTGAATCGTTTGATCTGAGCCCTAAACCTCAGGAATCTGGCCTGTGGTAGAATAAAATCTTGGATTCATGTAAGAATTATAACCTAGATTGGAAACTTCGTCCACCACGGATAGATCTCTTCCGTTCCGTTTGATCCCATTCCCCACAGCTGCTAATTTTCCCGGTGTCCTGGCTGTAGCAGGAATTCTGCCCTTTGCACCGCCCACTCCGGTGTAAGTTGCGCCTCCGTATGTGGAGCTTTGCTGAGTTCCCATGGACTCTTCTCATATTATCCTGAACTACCCATATGCCTTACCCAAAGCAGGCTTGACCGAACCCCTCTGGATGCTTCCTCAAGCTAACTCAGCCCGTCGAGTAATATCGAAGTTTCTGAAGACAGACAGATGCAAACACGCAGGCGCAAACGCATTATAATCTTTATAGAGGAGATGTGTTTAGTCTACGGTTGTTCTCTCATCCAGTGGAATATTTCAGAGTGAGATGTTCGAGTACACCAGTTCGGCAGAAGAGGAAACGCCCACACATCCAGACTACTACTATCAGTCAATCACGACCGTACCTTCTAACGTGCACTGTGAGTTCAGCAATTCGTTGGCCCAAGCTTTTTTACGGATATCCTGATCAGTACGATTTCTTTAACGACACAGGACCACTGAAGTCACTTTCTATTCTTATGCATGTTCGATGGTGTGAACTCATCTAACCAGGGTCCATCCCTCGATCTTCTTCCTCCAGAAAATTTTTCGCTTTTTCCGAAATACTGTACCATCTGGGAATAGGAAAAGAGGGTTGTGAAGCATATCTAGTAGATCTTGGAGTGGAAAACAAAGATAAAAATGTTTTCGCAATCATCACTTCCAGCATTTTCTTCGTTCCCATCGCCCTCTCCAATTCCAGTGCCACCGACTATCCCGGTTTCGATACCATCAAACAACACCGTAAGTGCTCTATTTTTGTTTTACTTAATATGTTAATTGTTCGGTTGTTTGGGAAAAATGGACATGGGTGGGCGTGGACCATGTCCTTTGGGGTACGTAGGCACTGAAGCGTTTGAAAACATGAGAACCTTCATACGGTCTTATTGGTTCTGTGCCCGAGGCTGCCACAAATACAGTCCCCGTGAAGGGTTAAATCTCCAAAGACTCCGGCCGCGCCTGGAAATGAAACGAAAAACGGCGGGTTTTTCCTCTTAGCATCTACATCCAGTATCGGAAACTGTGTCTGGAAATTAGCTGTTCTTCTGTCGATAAAGGAGAAATGTCGTTACTTTTATGCTGCATTCAGGGATTCCCTACTGAGACAATGTGGATCACCTCACAAACTAATCCTAGTTCCGCAGAAACTCGACCTACGACGTTCGAGTGGCCAAAGACAACATTAACAACGAGCGGAACAACGGTAATACTCTTTCCTGATTACTTTTTTCCTGCCCTGTCTTTCCCGTTCCTTCGGGTTTTCTCTTAATGCATTTCAAAGTGTCCAAGGTATGTCAATTGGTAAATCAACAGGTGTGGAAGGTCCAGGGGCTGATTACTTGTTTATTACTAGTTTATTGTTCGTTTATCCTCACGATTATGGCAGTTGTCTCTTAGTCCCATTGAAATCGTACCGACCCAAGAAAAGGCACCGCATTGAGTTTGTCCGTTTCTGGTCCCCTGACTTGAAGGCAAACCTCCCAGCGGAATGTTCCAAGTATTATGGGGAATCCTATTCCAATTCTCCGTCTCAGAACCCTGAACAACATTGATCGGAATGATATTGCAGTCACGTGAGACATCACCTTCGCCTCGACCTCTTCGCCTGGCACCCGTCTTCAACCCTCCACAAATCACAGTCACCGTTGATGAAAACGAATCTGATGTCGAGATTGCAAAGGTTAGTTCGAAATTCAGTACTTGACCGCTATTGAATCACTTCAGACTTTTTATTACAGGTGCATGCCTCTTACCCTGATGGAGGTACGGGAACCATCTCCTACATGCTCCACAAGGGAGATCCCACATTGTTTGCGTGAGTTTTGTTTCAAAGTCTGTATGAGGAGCCTGTTACAATTCCATATAATTAAACCTTCCTTTCAAGTCTGGGCAGCTCAAACGTTTGAGACGAACATGCTCGAAACTCCCTCATTTGCTCATTAGGGGCTATTCATGGTAGAGAAAGGCGTAGCTCCTTCGTTCGTTGGCTTTCAAGAGTAATGGGGCGAAATCGTTCGAAATCTTGATTTTTTTNTTTTTTTCATTCCTCGACCCAATGGCCTTAGACCGTGTAGTGCCGAATACTGCTCTATCACCCCGCATCGCGGTCCGGGATCGTATTCCCGTTCGGAATTCGCTGAATCCGATCTAGCCTTGCATACTTAAGGGATCGTTTAACCAGTACCAGACTCGCCTGGGAGCGCAAAAGCACTGGCTTGAGAATTGTCTGCTCTCAATGAGTCGTTGAATAGACCAAATACGCTTTCAAAATACATAGTCCTTGATGGAAAACCACCACTTGGGAGCATCTTAGAAACGTATTTGATTGTACACAAAAACCACTAACCTTCATCTCGTTGTCCTCGACAGTGTATTGACCACTTATGAATGGGAGTTTTTGCAAGTCCGCCCTTAGTTCTATTTCATAAATTCTGCTGTTTATTTCCAGTGTTTCGTCATATTCTGGATCAGTGACGTTACTTCGCCCACTCGATGCCGAAGTCGACACTTCCTACATGATCCAGATATCGACAGCTGAGGTAAAAATCTTTTGTCGAAGTTATCAAATTACCCGCCGCGAGGTAGTCAAAACCAAATCGTATTGTAATTCTTACGAACTCTACGTTGTGAATGCTGTCCGATTCAAATAGTGATCAATTTCTTCCATTGTATCGGAAACCTTCAAAAAAAGCAGCTCCAAAGTCGTTTGTGATAGTCATGCCCTAAAAATACAGGGGTTCAGCAATTCACCGTACCTTACTCGTCCGCATTCGCTTTCCAAAACTAATGGAGTAAAGAGAAACGGTAGGTCCGTCTGTTATGAGGAAACCTCGAAGCAGGTCTTCATGACGCCGCTTGCTCCTGCAGAGGCGTTATTTTCGAAATTTTCGAACCAACAAACTTAGAGTTAATCCCGACGGAAGCAACAGAACGGCTTATATTCGATGATTTCTTATTGGATGTTTCGATAGATATGGTATATTTTCAAAATGACTGCAAATTTTCTAAATACTTCATTTACCGATTTCCATCACCAATCATGTACAACTGCACATAAAGAAAGGTGTACTGCTTTGTTCCATTCGTTCGCGCTCTCCTTTTTAGGTCCTGCAAATTGGGAGTGCGGTAGACTTGAAAGCCATTACAGTAGAACTGTACTTCATGCCAATGAGGGTGGGCCATTCACAGTAATCGTTTCAGGCCGCAGGATTGGCTGTTGACCCTACAATGGCTCATTTTGTCTCGTTAACTGTAAATGTGGGAGATGTGAACGATTGGATTCCCAACTTTGAAAGTTCCAATTACAATTTCATTGTTCAAGAGGATACCATGCCTGGAACGATCATTGGTCAAGTATCTGCTTTCGATCAGGACAAGTCGGTATGTGTCGCCGTCGCCCCTCAGAAAGTTACGTCTTTCGAGTTGCCTAGTGATTTCTTTACAGGATCCAAACAACAGAATACGGTATCGTTTGGTGAGCGCCGGTGGACTGGAAAACTATTTTGCTGTGAATGGAGAGACTGGACTCATTACACTTGCTCTTCAAGTTGACGCATTTGCTGGGGAAAAGATTACGGTAAATCTATGTAAAGTTGCATGATTTTTACTGACGTTAGGTTGACTCCATGGGGCAAACCACTAACTAACACACTAACTATGTAACTAACACTAACACTAACTTGCTGAACGCGATAACATACCGTCTGTCTCTTCCTGGCCAGGCATTCCTCCCAGGAAGCATTTTCATTACGATGAGATCAAGTTTTCATTGGGCTTCGATTTGGACGTTAGACATAGAAAATCATCGAAATTGGCCTGAAATTCTCAGCAATTTTAAAAATTCTTGCTTATTGCAACAACACGGAACCCCGTATGGACGAGGTTCGGTCTCGAAAAAATTGAAACAATTTGAAACAACTGAAAATATGAAACACTCGGTAACTTCTAGCATGAGATATGAGCCTCTGTTAGTGTCAAGTTTCCCCTTTCTTCAGCATTCATTGCTGCCATTATTTTACTTTTTCCGTCTGTGTTTGGAAAAAGCTGTGTTCCTCCAAAAAACTGCAAGCTATGCCTACGCCTGATGAGTGATCAGTTCTCAAAGGAGAAAATAAAAGGAAAAGCAGAAAAAGCTAACCAAGCGGAAAGGAAATCGAAAACTCTCGCATAGCGTAGTCTTCAAAATTTGGGGCAAACTGTCAATGACAAAAACGTAGCCAGGGGATAACAGAGTCGACAACGGTAAGGAGGGATTCACTCGCATCGATTCCACGCAGTCACCTCGAATAAGAAATTAAAATGTGGCCACAACTATGTGGCTTTATACAAATGGAGAGTCAGAGCGAGGATGATGGCGAATGCTCCTGTAATCTCCGTTCTGGGCCCAAATTCCAATTCATACTAGCTACCCTACCTCTCCAACCCAGCACTCCCTCAACTTATAACCCCAAGATCAAAGAAAAATTAGTTAGCTTCACAGGATCCGTAAATGAACAACATAGTCTTCCTCAATTTACTTGCAAACTCAAGAACTGTAGCTTTTCTGGGATTAAATGCAACCTTCCCTCAATATGTTACATTTAGCTTCGCGTCGAGGCATCAGATTCTGGAGTGCCATCCCAGTCATCGATGACAAACGTTCTGATCGAAATCGCTCCTTCGGCTTCTCAGGTAGTTTTCACTTGTTATCTATTTCCACGTAATGAAGGTCACATGTACATATAAAGGCATTTTATTGTTAGAGATGAAGGGACAACAAAATGTGATGAGCAGGGATGTCTATGAGGAAGGTATAGGTGAGCAAAGAAAGTCCAGTAAGGAAGTGAACGAGCAAAGTAGGACACCAGCTGTGGCCGCTGGAAGGAAATAGAAGGGGTATTTGCTTGCAAAAAGCGCAAATGAAATGGGAAGCTAAGGAAATGAAATAAATGTAGTGAGGGCATAGATTTTAAAATATTCATAGCAGCGAATAGTGAAGACGTCGACAATGTCAAGAGGATTCAATGTTGAATTTCTGTGAAATTATTTGAGGCGTTTCGAATATGCTCATTCCCACATGGGTGATGAATTTTTCGGATCATCCTTTGAAAGCCTCAATATTGCAGGTGATTCCAAACGGTAGTCCATTCTCAAGTTTGCCATCAGAAGGAACATTACAGTTCAGTCTCAGGAACTACACGTAAGTTTTCTAAAAAAAATTTTCTTTGGCGCTTCTCAGCTGTCATGACCTGAGAGGAAAAGACCTTTTCTCGTGGGAGTTTCACCCACAAAAACTATTCTTTGTCTTGCTCATGAACAGGTCATCCACCTTCTTTGGTTTTACTCTCTATGACCCTCCTAATGGCTACTTGTCTAGATGCTGGAGTGAATTTAAATAATATACAAACTAATAATCTGACTATCTTGCGGCTAGGACCTTGAATAACCTAAATACGCAGGTTTTTAGAAACTTCAGGAGAAAAGTTGCGAAAACCTGGCTCCCGATAGCGTCCGTTAATGCGAGCTTTCAAATTGAATTTCCTGTGAATATTTTTTGTAACCGGCCACCAAAAAAGTCTATTTAAGAGAAATTTCAGTTGAAAATTTTGAAAATCAAAGCAGGATATTAACTGGTATCGTTCGTACGGCTGATTCTTTATCCAACTGGTTGCAGTTTTTCACGTTGGTCGCCGTACGGAATGCATAATATTTATGTGTAGAGTCTGATGCCATCTTTTTGCAGCGCTTCTGTTTCGGAATCCGTTCGTCCACCGTACCTTGTGCAGGTGTTGTCAGTGAATAACAAGCCAGCTGACACGAGATTTGTTTCATGCAATATCACCAGCGGAAACTATCGTGGTACGCTTTCTCGATTTCTATTTGACAATAACAAATTGAGAGCTATCCCTTGAAGTGCACTGTATCAACGTCAAAATCGTTCAGGAGCCTTCAGCGTTACTGCAGGAATTGATGGCAACTGTGAATTGCGAACACAAATGGAATTGGATAGAGAAACTGTGGAACGGTAAGAGGAGATTGATCTTCTTAAAGGCACAGTTCACGATAAAAATTCCGAGGTTCCCTTACAGGACAATTTGAGGCCCCCCTCGTATGCCATACCTGGCACAATTAGATCGGAAAGCGGCCTATGTAGTTAGGGAGTTACAAAGGCTCAAATATTGGCCCGTGTGTATCCTCGGACGAGTTTCACCGGCATTGTAGAGGCTGCACCAATCACAAGAGATCTCATGTAGGAAGT